ATGATTGGACAAAAAGGTGTATGTTTATCGGCAAGCCCCAAAAATGTTCATGCATTAAAAACATACAAAGTTGTAATCATCTGAATATTTAATCATTTAACCTGCAGGTCTTCTGAAACCTGTTTGATTAATGAGTGAGCGTGTCAGATGTGGTTACTTGGCAACGTAGAGTCTGGTGATTTACCTCTTTCTAATATCAGTTTGTAACTCTGGTTTACTTTGATATTTTGCAAACTTTCACTTTGTTTCAAGCCTTTTTTTTTTTAAAAGTCATAGATGTAAAAAAAAAGATGATGATTTCTGTAAAACATCAGGGAAAGTTGTGTTTCACTCTCATATTTGTGTTTCTGTGTTGTTTACATTTTCTGAAATAAATCCTTTAAATTTAAAATGGTCTGATGTTTTATGCAAATGAAATGATGCAGTACGTCTGTTCCACTGATGCTGTTTAGAAAAACATAATCTGACCGTTGGTTGATGTTTGAGTGTGAACTTCAGTACTAAGGCTCTCCTTTACAGCAGCTGATCTGTTACCATGCTTTGATACAGTATGAAGCAGTGGTTCTCAACTGGTCTAGCCTAAGGACCCACCACCAACTCCTTCATGAAAGTGACCCAAATTTTCTGGTATTGTTTCGACCAATCAGGTTTATTGAATGAAAAATAGTGCAGTGTGGACCTCAGATGGTACAAAACTTGTGATGGAAAAAACCAACCTGTTTTAAGATCGCTTTTTGGCACGTTTTTTTTTTCCAATCACGTTTTCGACCCTCAGAAACAGCTCCGCGACCCACTTTTGGGTCCGACCACCAGTTGACAACCACAGCTATAAAGAGTGGGTAATGTTTGGTGAGTCTTTTCCTCTTGTTTAGGCGACTGTTAAATGCTACCATCTGCATGTTTAGTTTAGAGACATGTTGTGACTTCATGGTCGTGCACCTGGCCGCTATTGCTGCTTCCCTGAGATAAAAACAAGTCCCATCATGGGAAAGTCTGCAGAGATTAAAAAAAAACTTCCTGGTTCCTCATCTGTTTCACACGAGGTGATAAAAGGAACACATTGACGTTTGTTGGTTTTAACGCTGCATAAAAAGGCAACAAACATACCTGTCTTTAATATTACCTTTATTGAAGCCTTGAACAAAACGTGTCACAGAGGTAATACATCCAAGGGTTCCAAGTAAATTATCTGCTTAAAATATTGGCTCTCTAGGCCTAACGCATGATAACACACTTCCTGGATGGTTTATACTGAAGTCTTTTGGTAAGAATATGGTGTTGGCCAATTCGGCAACTCTTTAAATTCAGGTCATAATATCTAAATATGCGTCTTCTTACTTCTACCTTATATTAATAAGCAGTAATTAGGAGGTTTTTGATGGTAAACTCTTGGTTAAAGGCAGGGTGGCTCATTTTCTCCAGATACACTTTTAAAGGTTTCTAAAGATATGCTAGTTTTTGAAAGTTACCAACCCTGCCTTTAATGACCTGTTAGCTATAGACTATGGTTCATGTAGACTCATAAGGGGGGCTAAAGGGCCCAGTTTCCGTGGAAGGTCGCATGGAGGTTAAAAAAAAACATGGTCCATCTTAAGTTTAATTTCACACATAAATACTCACCATTATCTCGTAAAGCAACAAATACACATTTAATTTTTTGTTGCTTCAGTAAATTATAGCCTGTTACAAAATGTAAAACCCTTCTTTTAAAAATGATAAAAGCATTATTCTTTGGTAATGTTAGCCAGAAGCTAGGTCGTCCTGGTACTAATAAACCCTTTACAATGACTGATAAGCAGCCAGTATGCTACTAGTTAGCATGCTAATAAGAAACTTGTTAAATGTGAATATTCTGACCTCAATCTAAAGTGTTGCCCCACTTCTTATGGGATGTTTGAAGATTATTTTATAGAAAAAAAAAGAAATAAATCAATGAAAACAATTCAAATCGATGTTTACTGACAGAAGCATTTCATTCTTTTTGTTTGGTCCTGATGGGGCTCAGCTTTTAGATACAATAATGGGACGCTCCAGGGAGCAAAGAGTTTGGTTTTAACTCTGTTATGTTTAATGTTTTCATGACACAAACCCACTGTGTTAAATCGGCTTCTGTTCATTTAAACCTTTACCCTGAATACCAAGCAAACAGGTCAAGTCCAGTGTTTTATCTCACGCTGTACTCAACAAACAGACAAAACATTAACTCAAGACATCTGCCTTAGACGCTGACGTCCCTGAGATCATGACTTCTACTAAAAATGTGTAACTAAGCACCGCTGGGGACAGTAGGAGTTAATTTTCAAAGGATTATCTTAACTTCAATCTTTGATAAGACTGTACTTTTAAAAACAACATGAGAGAATTTTTAAATTAAAGTCTGATTAGGTTAAATTTGAATCTGTGCACGCTGCAGGTCACACGAGACACTAACAACATACAGGCAGGTGTAAACCAACAATGTTTGAGAATAAAATCAATCCTCGTCTGCAAACACATTCAAAGCAAACCATGTGAATATCCTTGAAGATTTAAAGGAAGAATGTGAAACATTTTACACATAAATACAGCACAAATTAAATATATGTAAATGTCTCTCTGAGTCATGACTGTCGACAATGAGTGAAAAGCTCGAGTCCCGCTGGCTGTGTTTTTGTCAGAGCTGTGGTTTACATCATGTTTACATGGACGGGACGACCTTGTGTATAACAGCTGTTTTAGTCAAGGACTAGAGAAAAGAAGAAGAACATACTCACTGATTATTTGGATGTCATGTAAGTGTGTTTGATCACGGTCATTCTGTGTCAATTCATGTGCAATATGCCTTTGCCTCATGTGAAGGGAATAATGAGTCACCTGTATTTTGATAAAACTATTTATTTGCTAAATTAAATTGAACAAGAAGAATGACAAACATTAGAGATGTATGGAGCTTTAAACTAAACATGCAGCAACTCTGGTCCCTGTGTAAAACGACAGTGGATGAAGGTACTTAAAACAATGACAGAAGAAACACTTGACCCTGTTGCAATAACGCATCAAGACAAAAGTTATGAAAAACATCCTTCCTATTATCTCAGACAGGTTTTGAAGAAGCAACATGAGGGTTACAGGGACATTTCTTATGTACATTAAGTGCTTTAGACAGCTGACATGATGGATGGTGTAGCATTAATCATGAAGGAAAGCTTTCTTTAACAGTGAATGTGTCATTATAGTGAAGTAGTGTTTTTTTTTTCTTTTATTTCTATCACTCCATTTAAAAAAAACTAAAAACACAATCCCGATTTCAAATCCAAACTCACTCGGCTAAACTTTTATAATATTCATCTTTTAAACAAGTATGTACAAGACTTCAGAGGGCTTTACATGTTTGTAGTTCTGTAGTATTTGCTCTGTAAAAGTTAAATAGGTGCAAGCACAAACGCACACACGGCAGACATGAGTAGACGTACTTAAAACACAAACAGGGATTTGACAAAGTTTTTAAAATAAAAATGCAATGTTTACGAAGATAATCATAATGTAGTATTGTAGGTTTTTTTCTGCGTACACTTCTGCAGGATCATCTGGTATAGTTTGCGGTTGGTTCAAACACCTCAGGAGTTTTGCCCTTTGTAACGTCAGAGCACAGAAGAAAGCTGTGTGAGGACGTTTTTTATCTCAGCTCATCTATCAATTATTTACCATCTGTAACTATGTGCACAGAGACTGAGGGTCCAAGTATCAGAGAAGCTGCGAGAAATGAACGTCCTGCATAAGACCAGGCTCGGCGAAACTCAGTCTTTATATTTCCTGGACTATCAGTCTTTCTTTACAATTCTTTTATCCGTCCAGCACACCGGAAGAGGGAGACAGTTTAGTTACATTACAGTGCGACTCAAATCCAGAGGACAGACACGTTGAAATCATGTAAAAAAAAACAACACATATTTGTGTACATCCTTCATTAGATAACTGACCATACTGTTGGTTATTAAATATTCTCTATAATTTACCCTAATCTGCAGTATGAGCAGGTTGATTCATGTTGAGGGCAGTGAGAAAACAGCAGAGGGCTGAAAGGAGAAAGCGAGGATACTACAACATTATATTTATCTAATTTCCAGATGTAACCTCCCTGTTTCCAACAGATGACTTGCATTTAACCACGTTGTTGCATAAAGTCGTTCGACGGTGCAACGGTTGTGACAGATAATAATGCCAGAAAGAAAACGCAACAGACTGTGACAGAGTCGGGGGGGGGGGGGGGGGGGGCACCAACTGAATAAAAAAATAAAACTGATTTTATTTTGTGGCCGTCGTCGTCATCATGAACCTACTGTCCTACCTACAGCTTCATACAGAGCTGTGCTGGATTAGAGGCAAGCTGATATTACTGTACACAAATAAACAGAATCTATCACATGAGACCTTACAGGAAATGAAGCAGCAAAATAAATAAAACAAAAAAGATTGACTGTTTATGAGAAGTCCATTTGCAGCCATGGCGACAGGAGAGAGATCACAGAATGAAGCCGTGCATTTTAATGACGCACCTGTGTCTTCATAGAAACCTCTGTGTTGTTCTGATGTGTGTGTGTGTGTGTGTGTGTGTGTGTGTGTGTGTGTGTGTGTGTGTGTGTGTGTGTGTGTGTGTGTGTGTGACAAAGTGGCGCAGTCACAGCCAGCTGTCAGTGACCATTCATAATAGTCTGTGATGTGGATGCGGTGTTGGGGGGCGGGGCTGAAGGCGAGCTGCCGGCGCTGGTGAAGAAGTTATCGTCTCTCAGTTTGAGATGCTCCGGAAGATCCAGTTTGGCCTTGGCCTCCTCGATGTCGTTGTTAATGGCCGTGATGAGGGCTTCTGAAGGACAGATGAACACATGATAAGAAGTCAGAGCGGATCGCAGTGAGTGTCAGATTTGCTGACATGCAAAGAGTGGAGATTTTGTAAAAAAAAATGAGTACGTGTTTGTAAGAAAGATGTCTTACCAAGTGAGTCGTAGCTCCTCTCTGGACGGATGTAGCCAACCATTACAACGCTGAGAATCTCCCCGTAGAAGTCCTCTTTGAATGTGTGAATTACATGAGTCTCCTAGAACCAAAAACAAACAACAAAAATTACCACCATGCAGTCACTCGAAGAATTAGACATGTTCAAGTCGTCGGCAGTGTTTCCCACTGATAACAAACAGTTACACGGGCAGGGGACACTTTCATAACTGCCCGGCACTGACAGCCCGTGGTGTGGAGGCGTGGAAACTGTTCCACTTTCTATTTGTTGTTTCTTTCTTCCTCTATGATAAAAATGCTAAACCGCTAAAATGAAGCTAAAATGTATTTTGTCTGTATTGTTGCTCTGTATCTTTGCTTATGTTTTGCTACTTTGTATCTATTTAGATTTTTTTGTCTTTGTTTGTTCTCACTTTAGTTGTCATGTCGATATATTCTTGTTTCATTTTGTTCACCTTATCACCAATAAAATAAATAAATAAATGGAAAAAAAAGCTTAACTACTCATGTAGCTTCTAAAAAAGTGAACGATATCAATTATATTTATCCTTAATCTTCACGCTCATCATGCTATTTTTTTAAGGTTTATTTTGGGGATTTTAAACCTTTAATTGAGAGATAGGACAACTGACTCGAACCCGAGTGGCCCGCCTGGAGGACCACAGCCTCTGTACATAGGGCGCGCGCACTAACCACTAGGCACCACCACCACTGGCATTCATGTGTGATGATGAGTGAAACCACAGTCACAGAAGATTCTTGTTAGGTGAATGCAGGTTCCAATGAGCGGTTAATCATTTTTCTATATTTAGTCGCATTGTGTGACAGTTGATTTATAGCTAAAGCTTTGGAGAAACGAGTGGGCTTGTGATCACCTCACGTCTGCCTTTAAACTCCACATGAACAATAAGCATGCTTACTGTATGTTTCTGACTTCACTGAGTTTGAATGCTGCTTTTTTCTGGGGCTTACCATGGATTTCTTGGTATTTTTGTAGTATGGGTTCCAGCCAATGCTCATCACCATTTTGTAGACATCCCCATTACTGACACAGGCCCAGCCGTAGTAGATCCCAGTGCTGATATCTGCTGGAAGATGGTCCACCACTGAGTCGGGGAAATTGGCTGGAGAAAGGAGAGAGACGGTGGTGATGGGAAAAAAAAAAGTGTGAAATTGAGTTTCTGTCTCACTCATGAATTTGTTACAGAACTTAAAGCAAACATCTTCACTGGAAAGTTTTGCATAACTTCATAAAAACCTCCTCTTTAAGGGCGACGGTAGCCTAGTGCATAATGCGTAGAGGTGGGCGATATGTGAAAAATATCATATCACAATTTATTTTTGGCAAAATCACATTCATGATTTTTATCACGATTTTTTTCATACTGATATTTAGACAAACTTGTAAGTTGCTGACCAGTTCAACCAAACTTATTTCCCTGTATAATGTTTTTAAATGCACAAAAACTGTGTTGACAAGTTTAATCTATTTGAAAACATCTTTGTAGGAGGTCTGGAGGTCTCTCACCCAGAACATCTTTAGCAACAGAAACGTCTTTCCCTCAATTTGATCAATATTTATGCACAATTAAATGATTTAGTTATGTGTCCTCTTTTTATGTTCATCAGGAACATTTTCACACAGCGATGCATTCATTTAAAAACATGTAGACTTCAAGTTCTTGTGTTTCTGTTCTATTTTAGCCCTGCAGAGTTCCTCCAGCTGGAGCTTCATACAGGCTCTGCAGCCTTTGTTGTTGTTTTTATGACATCATTGGACTAACTTTAGTTTAGTTTATATATAATCAAATATAATACAGAATGATCAAAGTAAGTTTTACTGACAGAAGAGTGTAATTCATAGAGGGGGCGGGACATTGTTGATTGACAGACAGACAGTCACCATGGTTACTCACTCTCACCTGCCTGCTGCTTTGTAACGTCGTTTAGTGTAATCCCTATAAATTCAGTTATCACAACAGGTGAGCTTCAGGTGGAGAAGCTTGATAAGTAACTTTTAAAAACTGAGAGAGAGCAGAAAACACCGACAGCAACATTTGAAACACCCGGGGTTATATCTCTCATCACTGACTGTCTGAGCTCCTCTCTGTCTGACTCTCTGCAGACTGTGAACGTCCCTCCGGATTGTTAAACGGTTTCTTGTGTCGCTATCTGAGGTGTAAACTTAACTGTGCACACTATGCAGATAAGTTAACTGTTGCTCACACCGTGTCGGTTTGGAAAAATATCAGAACAGTTGCATATAACCGGGATGGAGTTGTTTTTGCTGACTTTACTTTAAAGTTTCATTTTGGTTTTCACTGCTGCGGAGCAAAAAAGGAGGGGGGGTGAGACGCATCTGTGTCGGAGCATAAACTGCAGCATGATAGAATAAACACAGATCGTCAGCAAGTTAAAATCCTTCACGATCTAATATCGTTATATCGCCCAACACTAATAATGCACGCACTATAATAATTCATGCTCGTTGCTCAAAACGTGTTGTCATGCAGTTAGTTTAGTGTCAGTCGGTGACTAAACGTTTGGATGGCGGTGTATTGAAGGGGTTCCCAACCTTTTTTTTTTGGGATCGTGACCCCACAAAACTCTGGTGACCCCAAACGTCTAAAACAAATACAGCTTTTTGATATAAGTTAACTGATATGTTTTCAATCATGTAAATAGTTTATCTACTGTGTTGCAAGTAAACATGCACTGAAGACCACATAAGATTAATAAAGTAATTATCTATCTAAAGCTGCCAGCTGGGATGACATTTCAGCACTAATGGATGACAAACAGAGACTCAGAGAGTTTCTTGTTTTGACATTGGCTGTGACCCACAGCAGTCTGTGTTCAATTTATGTTGTATTGATCAATAAATACAAATTTCAGGAGATCCCATTGGAATTTAATGGGACCCCAAGGTTATGAAAGCCTGGAGTAATGGTTAAACGAGTGACCGTGCTAACTGGAGACTTTGAGCCGAACGCGTCGTAGAAGTTAGAGCTGCCATTGAAAATATAAAAGTCAAATGAATGAAGTTTCTCTCACAATACAAGCGTGACACTTTTATTTTTGCCACTGTGATAAAAACAACTGAACTAAAGAGGCATTTGCGAGGATTATTTCTGTTTTTCGACAGCAGCTGTAACTACGACAACAGCGGACGCGTTCGCCGGGAAAAGTCACCAGTTAGCACGGTCACTTTTAAAACCGCAACACCGGCAGAGACCGCTGATGAACAGTTAAGACGCATCTACAGTAACATTCAGACAGGGAAAATGCGGCATTTGGATAAATAACCAAAGCCTGGTGATGTCAGCGATCCAATATGAGTCTGGTTGTTAAGTTAAAACAGATTCAGGAGTTAAACCTCGTCTGTGTAAGCTAACTGTGTAGGTTAGCTGTGTGTACTCTGCAGATGGTTAACTCACCTGTGGGTATTCCGAGTTCTTTGCTTCCTCTCCCGAAACCTCTAATGACCTCTCCCCGGCAGAAATACGGAAGGCTCTTCATGGCTAGTGTCCAGGAAACAACTGGCGATCCTTTGACAGACGCTACAGAATGACCTCGAACAACACAAGGAGGAAGTGGCTCTCGGATAAAAGTTCACCACTATGCTAGCTCAGCTAATCACTGTTAGCGTCATTAGAGGCACTCTGTTCCTGAAACGGCCAAATCCACAGGTGCTGGTCGTGAAGAGCCCGAAAGATGACCGTCTGACTTACTACCAGTCGCAGTGTGACGGTGAAAAGTGAAGCCCCGGTGCCCTCAAAGAGCCGGTGATGTTACATGTGTTTCACACATCTGCGTCGGTTGCGTTAGTACCGCTTCTGCTGACGTCATTGGCCGCGTGAGCAAAAGGAGGCCGAGAGTCACACGCTGCCTTCAGGTGCTGTCGGAAATACAGCAATTTAAAATGTTGCGTTAAAGCAGTGCTTCCTAAACGTTTTTCTGCCGGCAGAAAATGATACTTTCAAGCCCCCTTCGTACAATTCAACTTATGGAATATGTTCGCAATGAATGTGACTGATTGTGTGTTTCGTGTGTGTGTGTGTGTGTGTGTGTGTGTGTGTGTGTGTGTGTGTGTGTGTGTTTATATATATATATACGAAACACACAATCAGTCACATTCATTGCGAACATATTCCAATTGTTTTTTAAGTAAGAGATGAGATTAGATAAGATATGTTTATTTTCACTGTACAAGTACAACGAAATATTGTTGGAGCAAGCCTGTAGATGCCTAATATCAGAAATATACAAATACTTAAACCAAATATTCAAATTACAATTAAATAATACGATATAGTATACAATATACAATTAATTTGCAGGTGACAGGTATAGAATAGATTAAGGAGGCAATAAAAAACTGAAACATGAAACTTCCACATTTGTGACATCTGGTGTAGATTTATTTTCAGCCTAACATTTACCTAGAAGTCCTCTCACAGAATTTGGCATGCTTTACTAGCAGTGCAAACATTACAGGAATAAAAAGGGAAAAAATAAATCATTTAAAATTACATTATGTTTCTTTTTTATTTTTTTTTTTTCAAATTCCAAATTCTGGCCGCTTTTTAACAATTCCAGGCTTGTTTCTTTCCCCTAACAATGTTTATTTAGCTGATCCTCAGGGACTCTTCTTTTCAAGGTCACATCCCAAGTCAACAAACCTAAAGTAATACAATCTATTGGATCCACAGTTAAGTCACAATATACAATGCATTTTAAATAAAACAAATTAAGGCACTCTATATCAGCCCCCCATCAGGCTAATTGAAATCACTGAATGATTTAGTCCGGTTGTTGGTAGTCTTTTAGTGCATGTTTGCAGATTCTTGAGCTTTTAAATCAAACCACAAGAGGGCGACATCAGAGCTGTCCTTCTCTTCAGTTCTCTCAGACCCTTTTTAGAGATTTTAACTTCAGATGCATGATGCTGATTTTTCCAGGCAAAAGAGAAAACCAACGACAAACTTCATCTCTTTGTCGAGGCATCCCAAATGATCATCTGGACCTTTAATGTACTCACATAGTCTTTTCTTTAATACTCCTGTGCTCTGTCACAATATTAACGTATTATCAATTTATTAAAATGTACAACAATCCTCGAAAACTAGTCCAAAGTAAGCAAATAGTGTCATCGCATTGATAAAGTTGTAAAATGTAAGACATTAATCTGATTCAGCATGAAAAAAAAAACAATTCAATCTGAAGGTCATAACAGAGATAGATAAGGAGATCCTTTAGGGCTAAATGATGTTTCAGCTATTTCACAGACCTTTAGCTGAATTTGTAAATGCCACAGTGTTTCAATAGGGCATTGTGTATGAATACATCTTCACTATGAGCAGCTATAAAATTGTAATGAAGTGTGTTGACTGCATACAAATTGGTTTTCCATAAAATTCTTTGAGCACATCAGATGACTCAGGCCTGCATCATGAGTTGGTGGATGTTACTATATTTTCTCGTACATACTTCTGCCTCATGAGTTCATCTCTGTGACAACAAAAATAAGACCCTGGGAGACGGACTTTATATAAAGAATGAAGCACATTTAGTAAGTTAATAAAACCTTATAACATCCTTATTTTGTGCCAATTCAATCATTTTTGTATTTGTTTTTAAGCCGCCTTCTTGACACTCACTGTGTACTTATATATGGTTAAGATTAAGATTAAGATTTACTTTATTGATCCCCGCAAGGGGAAATTTCAGTTTTTACACTTTGTAAGTCATGAACACACACACAGGCTGAAATATACACACACATGCAGAAACAGGATCCTATGGACATGCACTAATGGAGTGAAGCCAGAGTGACGGAGCGGCCCACAGTGGGCGCTCCTGAGCTGATGGTGGGGAGGGGGTTCGGTGCCTTGCTTAGGGGCACCTCGGCAGTGCTCAGGAGATGATCTGGCACCTCTCCAGCTATCAGACCAACTTCCATATTAAGTCCGCACCGGAACTTGAACCGGCGACCCTCCGGTTCCCAACACAAGTCCCTACAGTCTGAGCTACTGCCGCCCGCCGTCAAAATGACAATAAAGAAAACTTGACTTGACTTACAGTAAGATTGCATTTTAAGGTAGAAGTAGATGCTGTATGAGGTGTGAAAAATGTGGTGGTATTGATTCGAGCCCGGCTTATATGGGATTTTTGGGGCCAATACCGAGATAGATATCAGTATGGATATAAACACAATTTAATTAGAGTGTAAAAAATAAAAACAATGCAGCACAGTTTTTATCGTGTTATCACAATGTCACTGCTGATTAGTGTTTTCCAACCTTTCTCCTTGGAGCTGCTCTAACTTCAATCCCCCCCCCCTCCCCTCCTGCACACACACAGGGAAAAAAGTGACATTTTAACATTTAGTTTTAAGAAAAAACTATCCATTAAGTTTTGTCCAGTCCTGTGCCAATCTAATGTTGTAAAATGCTGACTGTAATTTTGAGGGTCTTAGCCTACACATGCCTTTCATCAACACCTCAATGTACAGGAACAAGTTCAACCAGTGCAACCAGTGCACCAAACAGGTATCTGTCCCCAGTCGTGGAGCCAAAAGGAAACGTGATGAAAAGAGGAAACTCAAATGTGTCCGCTACTGGATGAAGGCACAGGTACGGTAAGACTGTTTTCATTTTGTTTTAAACTGCTTCAGTGAACACAAGCTGTAAATGAGACATGGTCGTGAAGTCAAGTTTATCATTCAGATTCAAATATATTATACTATTTGTTGAGGAATTTGTCAACAAATAGATTTGTCATTACTCTCTTCAAAAAGAGGATCAAGTTTTTTCTTTCCGTGTTATATATTGTGATTTATTTTTGCTCTGTGATGATTTTTGCTCATGAATTAGGTGAACATAGAGGAGAGTTTGGATCCCAGTTCAGGTCATTCAATTCATCTTCTGCCCATCAATCACTTGTCATGAGCCTTTGTCCCCTTGTTACTTCAATAACTTTATTTTCAAAAGAAGATTTAATGGCATTTTCCCTCCCTTGTGTTGTTGTTTTTGTTCCTGTCAGCAGTTCAATGTACAAAGTTAATTTTCTAGAACATTCCTGTTTTTTTTTTTAAAAACTCCCTTTTGCAGTATTTAAGACGAGATAAAATATGAAGTCAGGCTGTGCGATATGTCACATTGAAGGCAGCGAGCAGCGTTGAACTGCTTAGTCTAACAACGATGATTTTAAATGTATTTTAAATATGTCAAATAAATCCTTGTATCCTGCAACTGTGAAGAAGAATTTGTAGCGAGAACAAGGAGTCAGTCAGGTATGTAGTGAGAATACTTTTCTGTCACTAAGAGGGGGGGGGTTTGTGAGACCTAGAAGAACAAGTTCTGTCAGCTTTCCATGATTGTAGACAGTTTAGTTGGTCCTGATTTATGTGGGGCTTAAACTAAATGAAACAAATGAGCCATGTATCATCAGTTTATGTGTGGAGTGCTGCACAGTAGTGTGTTATTAGAGCTTCAGTCTAAGAATACTTGATCTGTTCCTTTAACTTTCCTGGGAACCGTCAAGAGCACTTTTTACATTCTGAAGAAATATGTTGATATCACAGACGGACTAGAAACTAAAGACTGAATTTATACTTTTAAAGGTTAAAAAAACCCAAGTTATTTCTCATACAGTAATTCAAAAAATGTAAATCAGATCACTCTCACTCAGAACCAAGAAAGAGTAATAATATCAAAAGGTAGCATTGTTTTTACCATACCATTTATTACTCATATATTTTACAGGATGTAATCTTTAATGCATGCACACATTTGTATACATCTCACATTCTGTATTAATTATAATATGTCTTAGTCAGAATCAGAATCAGAATCAGAATCGGGGTTTATTGCCAAGCACATTTACACAATTTGACTTGGTGTATTGGTGCTAAACAATTAACAAGGAAATAAAGCAGAACTAGCAACAACTTAAATAATACAGAAGAAGAAGATATTTCAATATATAAAATAGAATTTAAAAATGTAAAATATAAAAAATAAAAAACACAAAATGTACAAAAGGTGCAATGTAGGAGTCTATTCCTGTCTTCTATTTCTCACCCTGTATATTGTGTCATATGTTTGGGCTGTATGAACATATTTTAAACACGTTTATTCTTACAGTTTGTATCTTCCATGTTCACTCTTACATAACGCTTATGAGCAATTTTCAGGGCGGCTGTGCCTCGGGTGGTGGAGTCGATTGTCTCTCAGCCTAAAGGTCTCTTGGTTTTGATCCTCAGCTCCTGCACAGTAACATTTCCAATGTGTCCTCGGGCAAGACACTTGATTAGTTTCTTCTGATGGCCACTTTACACAGCATACCATTAATGTGTGAATGTGTAGGTGAGACCTCAGTGGAAAAACGCTTTGAGTAGTCAGAAGACTAGAAAAGTGCTGTACAAGCTCAAGTCTTTTTACTAATTGCAATGCTTGAATTACTTTTTTTAAAGCTTTTATTTGGCGCTAGGACAGGACAGGAACTAGAGTCACAGAAAGAGAGAGAGTGGGGAACGACATGTAAAAAAGGAGCCACAGGTTAGACTCTATCCCCAGCCTCTGTACAGGGACGCAGGCACGAACCACTGGGCTACATACAGTACATGTCTTTTTTGTGTGCATTCAAGGTATCAGTCATACTGAAGGTGTTATATGGAAGCCCTAAGCAGACATGCGTCCATACATTTTATTAACCCCTTTTTCCCTGAGGCATTTCTGCTTGTTTTCTTGAGATCTTCGCTTTTATATGTTGTATCCTCAGAGTTAAATAAGCACAAAACAAGCGTAGAAATATGCTTTGTTACCTCGTGTGAGCAATGGCAGCATGCCATGTTGTGTTCTGGCCTGTCACAGTGCACAGACTATTTTGATGATGAGAAGACAATTGGATTTTCAAATATCATAATTTTAAATGCAGTTACAGGAGAAAAATGCAGACGAAACATTCAAGATCACATTTTCATTTTAGAATTGATTCATTAATTTCTTTGGCTAAAGAATGACATGCATTGTGGATTCTCCTATCTCATTTCAGGTACCTATAAGAAGAGGAAGTCATCTCTGGTTATGCACAGACCCAGAGGAACCAGATAGTTTGGATTTGATTTTAAATTAAGATTTTTTTTTTTTTTTAGGTCTAAACAAAATTAAAATAAAAGCAGCTTATCATTGCATGTTTATTATAATGATTCTTTGATAATATTAGGCACTTAATGTTTCATAAAAAGATAACCTTGAACTCTAGAAAGCAGAGCAGATAAAAAGAGACTTCACAAACAATAAGGATGCTGCGACAAAGACGGCTGTTTATGAAGCTCAGCTTGGTCCTGGGATCACTGTGGATATATGTGCTGCTAGATCACCCAAAAGCAGCCTGGGATCCTACCTACAGGCTCATGTACGGCTGGCTGGAATACACAGACGATGACGGCGGCCCGGTGAAAGTGTGCAACTGTTCAGCAATCCTAGATGGAGAGAGGGAGGCTCGAGAGCAGGCCAAACTTCTGACCATCACCAAAGACTTCCACAAGAGTGTGCAGATCCCTGATGAGTATTATATCAATGCCACCCAGGACTGCAGGTGGGATGCTTTAAACTGGTTTTAACCTTTAAGCTGTTGTAAAAAGATAAATGCACGCCATCATCTGATGTAATGAAATTGATTTGGCAGAAATTCGGAGGTAGCATTCATTCTCCATGTGGTGTATTTACAGGAATTTCAAGCGAAGCAGAAAATACCTGACATTCCCATTGAGCCAGGAAGAAGAAGACTTCCCTCTGGCTTACTCGATAGTTGTGCATCATAAGGTATGATGTTTCTAAATTTGACATTTCAATTTGGATAAAGTTCAAAACAAACAAAAAAAAGAGAGATAAAAAAAGTGGCAGCGAGCATCACAAACAGTGCAGTGGAATGCACCCAACTGTTGTCATAGCAACCTGTATGCACAGGTTCACTGTGATTGGCTGGTTGCGTTCAAAGTTACCCTGATTGGTTGTTTGATTCAGGCTGGATTAAAAAAAAAAAAAAAAAAAAAAAAAAATATATATATATATATATATATATATATATATATATAGGAGGATCCTCGGACACACATTTATTCAAAGGAACATTTTAAATCCAATTAAATCCAATTTAAAAAACTTTATTTATCGGTTCGGAACTTCAGTTACGTAAAAAGCATGAATGAGAGCCCAGCACAAAAACAAACCGCAAACACACGCTCGTATCACATATCAACATCCAAAGTGCGATGAAAGAGTCCTGAGTGAAGCCGAAACAAATGATGCACGACAGATTAGCAATACATAATGATAACATGGGTTAAAAATGAATAAACATTCCCATTAACTTTGAGATACATTAAGAAGCAAGATAAATATGTCATGAATAATGTTCTTTCATGACTTCTGACGGATGTGTGAACATCACTCCTGTCCTTCAGCAGCTTCATCGGTTAAATATCGCATTGACTTTAAGATTCTGCTCCTCACCTTTAAGGCCATGCATAACCTCGCTCATCTGTACGTAACTGCACATCAACACAGCCACCCGCTCTCTCAGGTCTTCTTCCATTCAACTCACAGCCTGTCCAACAAGTTAAAAGGCTGCAAACAGAAAATCCTATTGTGAAAAAGCTAAACATTTTCTGTGGCTCCCTGAGTAGCCTTCTCGAGTAAGAACCTGCCCAATGCCAGACACTAAAAGTCAGGATATCCAAACGTCTATTCCTTAAATCTTAACTGATTATTGGCTTAAGTTTGACTCCCAACTTTTTTTTTACTGAATCGCTGGAGTGCCTCTTTAAAAAGCAAACACGTGTAACAATCAGTATAGTCTATGGAACATGCCGACACACCTGACTTCTTCTCTGTCGTTTCCCAAAGGTGCAGAACTTTGAGCGACTGCTGCGAGCCATCTATGCACCTCAACATTTCTACTGCATCCACGTAGACAAAAAATCTGACGCCTCGGTGCTCTCTGCCATCACGGGCATCGTCTCCTGTTTCCGAACGTCTTCCTGGTCAACCGGACTGAAAGCGTGGTCTACTCTGCATGGCCTCGCGTACAGGCTGACCTCAACTGTATCGGGGATCTCTATAAAATCAGCACCAAATGGAAATACTTCATCAACCTCTGTGGCCAGGATTTCCCTCTAAAAACCAACTTGGAGATCGTGAGGATGCTGCGTTCACTAAATGGCGGGAATAGCTTGGAGTCGGAAAGAATGGCTGACGCTAAGAGGTCGAGGTTTTCTTATGTCCACAATATAACTAACGGAGACATCCAGGTAGGCCACTTCTTTTAAAATTGCTGAATTCATGATTCTCACATTTTGACCCTTAGTGAAACTTACAATATTCATTTATTTTTTCTTCATATTCATTCACTATTCACATTTTCTCAGTTTACAGGAGTTTTAAAGGAGCCGCCTCCATTCAACATCCAAATTCTGTCAGGAAACGCCTACATAGTGGTGAACCGAGGCTTCATCCGCAGCGTCCTGGAGGACAAACGAGTGCTGGCCCTTATCGAGTGGTCCAAAGACACCTACAGTCCCGACGAGTTCCTCTGGGCGACCATCCAAAGGCTCCCCGGCGTTCCTGGATCGACTGGCCCAACCCGAAATACGACATGACAGACATGAGCGCGATCGCCCGGATGGTGAAGTGGGTGTGGCACGAGGGGGAAGAAGGGTCGGAGCAGGCCGTGTACCCGGAGTGTCAGGGCGACCACGTCAGGGCGATATGTGTGTACGGGGCTGGAGACTTGCAGTGGCTAATTGAGCAGCGTCACCTCTTTGGCAACAAGTTTGACGCAGAGAGAGATCCCATCGCTGTCTTCTGCTTGGAGAAGTATCTGAGACAAAAGGCCCTGGCGGAGTTACGTTAGTCGACTTAGAAAAACCAACAAGGCCGCTGGAGAGAAGACTGGTTAATTCTCTACAGATGTTTCCACCAGGTCAGGGTCAGACTACTGGAAGTGCCTTTGTTAACATTTACCCGCAGAATATATACAAAGTGGGAGGTACGTCTAACATGTAAAGCGAGGAGGCGGACTTTGTGACAGAATACTACGTACATGACGATATCAGAAAAGAGAGGAGGCGGACCACTTTATCCACAGGAACTGCTAAGATCAAACACAAAATGAAAGTTCCTCACAGGTGTTTTTACATTTTCCAAAAAAGGTCAGAGGGAAAAAAGTCT